AAAAAAAAAAAAAAGAATTTTTTAAATTAGCCTAGGGCTCTTCTGCCTATGGAGTAGCCATTCTTTATTCCTTTCCTTTCTTAATAAACTTACTTTAAAAAAAAACAAAAACAAAATTAGCCAGGAATGGTGGTACATGCCTGTGGTCCCAGCTCCTTGGGAGGCTGAGTTGGGAGGATCGTTTGGGCCCTGGAGGTCAAGACTGCAGTGAGGCCATGATAGCACCACTGTGCTCCAGCCTGGGTGACAAAGCGAGACCTTGTTTAAAAAAAAACCAGCTTTCTCTGGAATTTATCATAAGGTAAGTCATAACATTCCACCACCTTTTATTTTCTTCCAGATGACTATCTAGTTGATACAAACCATTTATTATAATAAACACTTATGCCGGGCGTGGTGGCTCAAGCCTGTAATCCCAGCACTTTGGGAGGCCGACGCGGGTGGATCACGAGGTCAAGAGATCGAGACCATCCTGGTCAACATCGTGAAACCCCGTCTCTATTAAAAATACAAAAAATTAGCTGGGCATGGTGGTGCGTGCCTGTAATCCCAGCTACTCAGGAAGCTGAGGCAGGAGAATTGCCTGAACCCAGGAGGCGGAGGTTGCGGTGAGCCGAGATCGCGCCATTGCACTCCAGCCTGGGTAACATGGGTGAAACTCCGTCTCAAAAAAAAAATAAAATAAAATAAAAAATAAACACTTATTTGGTTTTCTTTTAGTAATTAGAAATGCCATCTTTACTTTAGGCTAAATTCCTGTTCTGTTTGTGTCTATTTCTAATCTTTCTGTTTTGTTCCTTTAATCTGTCTAGACACATGCCAGCACCACACTCTTTTGGTTATTATGGGTTTGTAATATATTTTAGAACCACGTATTTTTTTTTAGTAAAAAAAAATTTTTTTTTTTTTTTGTGATAAAGTCTCACTCTTGCCAGGCTGGAATGCAGTGGTGCAATCTCAGCTCACCGCAACCTCCATCTCCCAGGTTCAAGTGATTCTCCTGCCTCAGCCTCCCAAGTAGCTGGTACTACAGGCACATGCCACCACGCCCAGCTAATTTTTGTATTTTTTTTTCAGTAGAGATGGGGTTTAACTATATTGGCCAGGATGGTCTCGATCTCTTGACCTCATGATCCACCCGCCTCAGCTTCCCAAACTGCTGGGACTACAGGCATGAGCCCTGGTGCCCGACCAGCAAAAATTTTTTATAGAGATGGGGATCTCGACTGGTCTCGAACTCCTGACCTCAAGCAATCCTCCACCTTTGTCCTCCCAAAGTGTTAGGATTACAGGCATGAGTGACCGTGCCCAGCTGATCATGTAGATTTTAATTCTACTCTTTGTGGCTTCCTTGAAATTTGGCCTTTTCTTGCTTGTCTTCCTTTTACTCTTATCCGGCTGCCTTTTCCTCCCAGTCTGGGCTTTCCTTATGATTTTGGCCTTATTTTCATAAAGGCTGGATCTTATTTTTTTTAATTTGTGGATGCTAAACAGTTCCCTGAAATTTTCTCTTTGATAGATAGATCAGTCACTGCTATCCCTTCTTTTGATTCTTCTAGTTATTTACTTCCTTTTCCTTAGGTGTTTTTTATTTTGTTTAACTTCCTGTTCTTTTCCTTATTACTGAACAGATTAAGATCTGTCCAGACTCAAATTTTGGTAACAGGCAGATTGCTTGGGACCACTCCTGCATGGTGGCTGGCTCCCTCGTAGATCTGTTTGTGGAAGGCTGATGCACAGTTCTTAGGTCTAGCGTTTCTCTCTTCTACCATAGTGGCATCTTCTGACCATCTCTTCCTCCTTCATTGCTAATAATGGAATACATGAAAAAACACACAAAACTAAGATTCTCCACATATATAGTTTTCCAGGGTTTCTCCTCTCCCACCCAAATTGCTTTACTAGTGCAGACTGCACCTTCCAGAATATATTCTGCCACCGCTATTCACCATCTTTTTTTTAGAGCTGGAGTCTTGCTCTGTTGCCCAGGCTGGAGTACAGAGGCATGATCTTGGCTTACTGCAACCTATGCCTCCCGGGTTCAAGCGATTCTCCTGCCTCAGCCTCCTGAGTAGCTGGGATTACAGGCATGTGCCACCATGCCCAGCTAATTTTTGTATTTTTTTTTTTAATCCAAATGTGTTTATTGAGATGGTTTCCCACTCATCTTGATTCAGAATGCTTTTAGTGCTGCTTCCTCCTGAAAGAACATCCTTCTGTAAGCCTTGCTTTTCCTCCTGTAGGCTGGCAGAGGACAGTGGAGCAGCCAACACACAAAACTACCTGATTTTATAGCATCCTGGGCATTTCATATCCACGAAGTAGGAATTGGGGCTCTGCACCAGGCATTTCTTCTTGTGTTTCCTCTTCTCCTCTTCTGGAGAGGGATGAAGGAGATCCTTTGTGAGAGGCATGTTCTCATGGGTAGGTCGTCACCGCCGGAAAGCTTTTTTTGTTTTTTGAGATGGAGTTTTGCTCATGTTGCCTAAGCTGGAGTGCAGTGGCATGATCTCAGCTCACTGCAAACCTCCACCTTCTGGTCTCAAGCAATTCTCCTGCCTCGGCCTCGTAAGCAGCTGGGATTACAGGTGTGTACCATCACACCCGGCTATAATTTTTGTATTTTTAGTAGAGATGGGGTTTCACCATGTTGGTCAGGCTGGTCTCAATCTCCTGACCTCATGACTCACCCGCCTCAGCCTCCCAAAGTGTTGGGATTACAGGCAAGAGCCACCATGCCCAACGCTGCTTATTCACCTTTAACCATGCACCTACCCTCCCCCAAGTCCCCTTTGCAGTCATCAAGATTTCAGGTACTTGAGTGGGGAGGGGTGTGTGTGAGACATTCTAAAGGAAAGGAAGTGGCACTGCTCATTTGCTGCTCTGTACAAGCCAGGGCACAAACTGAGAGAGACCAAGTATTTTCCTGCCTTTTTCCATGTAGCCTCCCTTTAGTAAGGAAAGCTGGGATATGCTACGGCCAAAGTCTGGGTAGATTTCTTTCCATCCCTCTCCACCTGTTTTGTATTTCTTCCTAAAAGTTGCCAGTGGTCTCAGTGTTCATCAGTTGTGAGTTTCCATTTTTTTCTATGCCTTCATTGATATTTAAATGAAAATTTGGCAGCAGCTCTGCGGACAGTTCTCAGCCAGATATCATTTGAAATGGAAGCTAGAATATGTGTGACAAAAGTGAGCTAGATAATACTTAACATTTATATTCTTTTTTTTTTTTTGAGATGGAGTTTCACTCTTGTTGCCCAGGCTGGAGTGCAATGGCACAATCTCAGCTTATTGCAGCAGCCTCTGCCTCCCAGTTTCAAGTGAGTCTCCTGCCTCAGTCTCCCAAGTAGCTGGGATTACAGGCATGTGCCACCACACCCAGCTAATTTTGTATTTTTAGTAGAAATGGTGTTTCTCCATGTTGGTCAGACTGGTCTCAAACTCCTGACCTCAGGTGATCCACCCACCTCAGCCTCCCAAAGTGCTGGGATTATAGGTGTGAGCCACCACACTAGCCTAACTATATTCTGTGACTAAAAGAAAAAAAAAGCAGACCAAAATACCTGGCCAATAAGGTTGTTAGTCTGGGATGAATGGAAGCTTTGTTTCTCATCATATAAGTGATGTCTTAGTCTTTGTGAGAAAGAAAGGACCAAAAGAAGTGGAGGAAAGGAGTTTAAAAGGGGTGACTGTTTAGGCTAAAGTGGAAAGAGTAAGACAGTGAAAAGTAAAATACAGGCCCAGCGCAGTGGCTCACGCCTATAGTCCCAGCACTATGGGAGGCCGAGGTGGGAGGATCACCAGAGATCAGGAGTTTGAGACCAGCCTGGCCAACATGGTGAAATCCCATCTCTACTAAAAATACAAAAATTAGCTGGATGTGGTGGTATGTGCCTGTAAGTCCCAGCTACTTGGGAGGCTGAGGCTGGAGAATTACCTGAACCTAGGAGGCGGAGGTTGCAATGAACCGAGATTGCAACACTGCATATTAGCCCGGGCAACACAGTAGACTCTATCTCAAAAAAACAAAAATTTAAATTTAAAAAGTAAAATATTAGCTTATGAAGTCTGAGGTTAAGTAGTGCTGAGAGAAAAATGTATATACATTATTAATCAGGATCTTTCTCCTCTATCCTTCTTGGTTTTTTTGGGGGTTTTTTTGAGGCAGAGTCTTGCTCTGTTGCCCAAGCTGGAGTACAGTGGTACGATCTCAGCTCACTGAAGCCTCTGCCTCCCAGGTTCAAGCGCTTCTCCTGCCTCAGCCTCCCGAGTAACTGGGATTACAGGAGCATGCCACCAAGCCTGGCTAATTTTTGTATTTTTGGTAGAGACAGGGTTTTGTCATGTTGGTCAGCCTGGTCTTGAACTCCTGACCTCAAGTGATCCGCCTGCCTCAGCCTCCTAAAGTGCTGGAATTACAGGCATGAGCCACTGTCCCTGGCCCATCCTTTTTTTTTTTGAGACAGACTCTCACTTTGTCACCAGGCTGGAGTGTAGTGGCACAATCTGGGCTCACTGCAACCTCTGCCTCCTGGGTTCAAGTGATTCTCCTGCGTCAGCCTCCCTGGTAGCTGGGACTACAGGCACATGCCACCACACCCAGCTAATTTTTGTATTCTTAGTAGAGATAGGATTTTACTTTGTTGGCAAGTATGGTCTCAATCTCCTGACCTCGTGATCTGCCCACCTAGGCCTCCCAAAATGCTGAGATTACAGGTGTAAGCCACTGCACCCGGCTCTTATTTTCTCATATTACTTTTTGTTTTTTTTGTAACAGGGTCTCACTATGTTGCCCAGGCTGGCATTGAACTACTGGGCTCAAGCAATCTTTCCGCCTCAGTCTCCCAAGTAGCTGGGACTACAGGCACATTTCACC